GCCAACTGAGGGGTGGAGACGACGGCAGCAGCGGCTACGGGATGCAAGGGAGCCGACGTGGCAGAGGACGTGGCTTCGGTGGTGCTGGACGCGGTGCAAAGAAAGACGACGACTCCAACGACCAACAAGGAGGTACCGGTTGGGGTCGCGGTGCGAAATCTGGACGTGGGGGCAAGTCGGGTGCTGGTGGCAAAATGAAAGGGAGTTGCTGGTATTGTGAGAAGGAAGGGCACCCCTGGTTTTTGTGCTATAAGAAACCCGATGGATGGACCCCCCAGAATCGTCACCAGGATGGCGGCGCGCGGAGGAACCAGAAAAACGGCGCCAACATGGTCGCTGATTCGTCCGACAACAACCCGAAGGGCAACGGCGGTGCGGAGAAGAAGAAGGAGCGCACCGCGGGCCAATTCTTCCATGTGGGAGACAAGGGGGAGCAAGGAGACGCCTCTGCCAAAGTTGGAGCAGAGCTGCACCCCCTAGACTATTGGGTGTTGGACACAGGCGCTGCTTGGACGATGACGCCGCGCAAGGACCTGCTGGACGAAGTACGAGCTGCACCGATCAATGAAGTGTGCTCCGCCTCTGGACACATGTTGAAGGTGGCTGGTGCGGGACGAGCTGCGTTTAAGGGAGCGGATGGCAAGCCGGTGGTGCTGCACGACGTTCTCTTCGTCCCCGACCTGAAGGCCAACCTTATCTCCCTCCGTAAGCTTGGCAAGGCTGGGGTGAACACCAACACGGATGGGGCACGCACTTATAAGGGGAAGCTGGGCAATCGGGTGCTTTGGGATCTGCACGAGAGCAAGGACGTGTACAGATCTATGTGGCAGCTGCCGGCCCTGGCGTGGCATGGTGGGGGGCAGGCTGGAGAGGGGTCTGCATCCCAGGGGGAGTGCAATGCCGTTGGAGGGGTTGGTGTGAAAGTGTCGGCCAGATCTGGGGAGACAGATTGGGCAACGGCACACCGGCGCTTAGGGCATGTGGCAATGCCTTTGCTGAAGCAGCTGGAGAAGGATGGAGCCGTTAAGGGTCTGAAGCTGAACGGACAGCCACCCGATGACAACTGTGAAATCTGTTTGCTTTCAAAGTTCACCCGTTTCCCTTTCCATAGTGTGGCTGGCAGGAGCAAGAAGCCTTTGGAGCTGGTCCACATGGACTTGGTGGGGCCGCTGCCGGTGCAAGGGCACAAGGGGGAGCGGTATTTTCTTACAATTGTGGATGACTGGAGCAGGCTGATGTGGGCGTATCCGCTGAAGCAGAAGGACCACGCCGCCTCCACGATACGGGACGATTGGCTGCCATTCGTGGAGAAGCAGGCGGAGTGTGTAGTGAAGCGGATTAGGACAGACCGGGGTGGTGAGTTCCTTGGAGCTGAAATGACGGCCTGGCTCAAGAAGCAGGGCATCCAGAGAGAGCTGACCACGGCTTATACCCCACAGTCCAATGGTGTAGCAGAACGGGCAAACCGGACCATTCTGGAGACAGCTAGGGCGCTGCTCATAGAATCTGGGCTGAGCAATTCTATGTGGCCTCATGCTGTCCGGCACGCCACTGTCGCTAGGAACAGGGTGCTCACCAAGGTTGGGGATGACTCGTGGGTGCCGTTGGAGAGGTGGCTTGGGAGGAAGCCGCCGGTGGACATGCTGAGGGTGTTCGGTTGCATGGCAGTCGCCCACGTCCCCAAGACCTACCGCAGTAAGTTGGGGGCGAGTGCAATCTGGTGTGTGCATTTGGGGCTGGCTGCTGAGAGCAAGGGATGGCTGCTGTGGGAACCATCCAAGGGTGTGTTGTTTGACAGCAGGGATGTGAAATTCATTGAGGGCATGATGTATGGGAGCTGGGAGAAACAGCCGGAGGCAAGGGTGTCCCAGCAGATGGAGCAGATCACCATGCAGCTGGACCTGACTCCTAGTGTGTGGGAGGAGGGAGAGGAGGCAGCTGCTGGAAATGGTGATGGAGAGAAGGTACAGGAGGCATCTGCTGGTGGAGAAAATGGTGTGGAAACTGGCGGCAGCACTAGTGGAGCTGCTGGACCCGAGGGAGGAGAGAAGCAGCAGAAAAAAACTAAGAAGCCGAAGGGTGTCGTTATGAAGGGATGGGAGACACCCGTCTCCAGGCCAGGACGTACCCGTATGGCTACTAAGAAGCTGACTGCAGGAACTGATGCAGCAGAGCAGCAGCTAGGGACCGAAGAGGCATTGCTGATTCTACCTCATGGCTATGACCCGGATGAGGAGGATGAGCCTGCGTACTGTTTTCTTGCCCCTGCACCAGAGGAACCAGCTAGCATGGAGGAGGCATTAGCTGGACCAGATAGGGACAAGTGGCTGGCTTCTAGGGATGCTGAGTACCAGAGTCTGCTGGAGAATAGGACATGGGATCTGGTGGTGCTGCCTGATGGGAAGAAAGCGATACAATGCAAGTGGGTGCTGAGGATCAAGACCGATGACAAGGGGCAGGTCACCATCTACAAGAGTAGGCTGGTGGCGAAGGGGTTTATGCAGAAGGAGAAGCAGGACTTCAACGAGATCTTTGCTCCCACTGCCAAACCCCCTACCCTCCGTGTCTTGTTGGCAGATGCAGCTGTTAGTGGGAAATTCATCATTCAGATGGATATTTCAACGGCATTCCTGAATGGGATTTTAGAGGAGGATGTGTACATGACGCAGCCGCCTGGGTATGAGGATGGTACGGGCAGGGTGTGCAAGCTCAACAAGTCCATCTACGGCTTGAAGCAGGCGCCACGCTGCTGGTACCAGAAGTTGGCAGCTGTTTTAGAGGAGATGGGATTCAGGACCAGCAGCTGTGATGAGAGCCTCTTTCTCAAGGGCGAGGGGGAGAAGCTGGTGCTGTTTCTGGTCTATGTGGACGACATTCTTCTCTTCAGCAGCAGCATGAAGGAGATCCAGAAAGTGCAGCAGCAACTGATGGAAAACTTCAAGTGCAAGAACCTTGGGGAGGTAAAGTACTACCTCGGGATGCACGTGGAGAGGGATCCAGATCACAGGTGGTTGAAGCTGCACCAGGAGAAGTTCATCAAGGAGCTGGGGGAGAAGTATGGGATTGAGAATGAGCGCAAGGTTGCAACTCCCCTGCCAGCAGAATTCAAGCTTGTGAAGGCTGCAGAGGATGAAGGGGTTGAAGCTGAAGAGCAGCAGCAATTTCAGTCCTTGGTGGGCAGCCTCTTGTACGCAGCAGTTCACACGAGGCCCGACATCTCTTTCTCGGTTGGGCAGCTGGCTAGGGTGGTGCAGAATCCATCAGAGGAGCAGGTGGATGCAGCTGAGCGTGTGGTGAAGTACCTGAACTCTCACCCAAGCATTGGAGTTCAATACTCCGCATCTGCACAGGTGAAGCAGAAAGGGGTGGAGGTGCTGAAAGAGAAGGGGGAGAGGCTTGGAGAAGGCAAGCTATTTCTCACTTGCTTTACCGATGCTACGTGGGCTTCTGAGAAGGAGGATTCCTCATCTGTGGGAGGATACATCTGCGTAGTTGGGGGAGGACCTGTTAGTTGGAGGTCCAAGAAGCAGACGGAGACGGCACTCTCTTCCGTAGAATCAGAGTACATGGCGATGTTCCATGGGGTGAAGGAGGTGATTTGGCTGAGGAGGCTGTTAGAGGAGATTGGCCAGGAGCAGAAAGTTGCTACGCCGCTGTTTTGTGATAGCAAGGGGGCTCTTGGGATGGCCAGAAACGCTGTGCTTCATGGGCTGAACAAGCACATGCGTATCAAGTGGCACTGGCTGCGTAAGGAGGTGAAGAGGGGGACGGTGCATCCGATCTACATCAAGACTCACCAGCAGCCAGCAGACTTTCTCACCAAGAGGCTTGCGGATGAGCCTCATTGGCGTTGTGTGCGCATGAGTGGAATGAGCATGAACTAGCATGGAATGACGGGGATGCAGCCGGCAGGCTGAGGGGGAGTGTGTTGGGTGCAAATGCACATTGCACGACATCCTGCCGTCTGTTTGTACGAGTATGCGTGTGCGAATGCATTTGCGTGTGAATGGTGTGTTCGTGTGTTTGTTTGCTTTCGCATTTTTCGCTTGATGCATTTGCAGGTACTCGCGCAATGTGCGCTTTGGCACAACATTGTATGCGCTATGAACAGTGCAAGCAGGAAGGACGAGCTCGCAAAGGAACCCAAGATGGAAGCTTTGCAGTTCGGTTGAGTTGATTGCGCAGATTCAGTTCTATCCAACTCGGAATTGTACTGTTTTGTTTGGTTAACTATAGTGTAGCAGGGAAGGCACTATAGGGGTACAATTTAGGTGAAGGTTGGATGTTGTTTGTCTGTATCTGCATGCTACAAGGCCAGGGGAAACCAGCGGAACCAGCATTTGGCTGGTTGGGCAAAGACAAAACAAGTTCTGTTTTTAGAACCTGAACCTGGTTGTTGTTTTCCCAGGTTGGAAAAACAGAACCAGAGGTTGTTTACCAACCTACCACCTGCTATTTTGTCCAGCCAGGTTGGTTCTGTTGCTTGGAATTATTTGGGATCATCCCTGGTTGTTCCCAGGTTGATTCCCAAGGTTCTTGCTAGCTAGAACTATTTAATCCTTCTTTGTTTGTACCTGAATATAGTCAAATTGATTCAAGCGAATTCCTTCCTCGCTGGAATTTCGTTTCTGCGCTATTCGACGGCGGAATGCTACCCGAGTCAACGCTAGTACGCTAGCACTCTAATGCTAGGCAAACACCGTCTGAGCCATAACTTCGTAATGGCAGAACTTTTCGCGAGGCAACTTGGCTCATTTTAAAGCTCTTGGAGCGAGCTTCGATATAGCGAATTCTCAGCTTAATCCGACCGACGGTCTGCACGGCACGCTGCGCGACGTTCAAGGTACTCTTGCTGTTTTGACTAAGTCCTTCTTGATCCCTCTCTCTACAAACTCGGACCCGAGGATAGGGGCTGGTCTTGTACCAGGCACCCAGGGACCCTTGGAGGTGACCCCGAGGAGAGGTTTTAAGTTTGATTAAGTCCTAATAGCTTGAGTTTATTAGGCCCTTACACCAACAGACTGGTCGACCACCTTCTGGTCGACCGGCTCCTCGTCGCCCAACTGCTCCCCTTCATCTGCACCACCGTCCTCGTCGCCCTGCTGCACCTCGGTCGGCTTCCCGAACGACTGCTCCCCTGTGGTCAGCTCCCCTGTCGACCGCCAGGTCGCCGACTGCTCCTGGGTCGACCTCGTTACTGCTTGCTCCCCTGTCGGCTTCACCCAAGTCGGCTGCACCTCCTCGACCTGCTCTTCCCCTATCCAGGTCGACTGCACTCCCAGGTCGACCTGCTGCACGTCCCGTCGGCCACCGGCGATGCCTTTGGTCGGCGCCACAGGCGACGTCCCACTGCTCCCCTCATCGCCGGAGGCCGACGGCGGAATCAGCCCACGCAGGTCGACGAGGGGAGGGGCAGGGGAGTGGGAGGAAGGGTGGATGACCTCGGCGTCGTCCTCAGCAAGCTCACCGACCTCGGCGAGCAGAGGGAGAGTTGCCGTCGAGGTATCCGTCGGCGTGGCCACCAGCGTCCGCCCTGACACCGGCCCATGCTCCGACTTCCACTCCTCCAGCGACAGGTCCTCGTAGAACACCACGTCCGACGTGGTGACCACCCGGTTGGCGGCAATGTCGAGGAGCTCCCAGCCCTTGCTGGCCTCCGACACGCCGAGGTGAAGGCCCCACTTGGCCTTCGGCTTCAGCTTCCCACCGCGCTGCTGCTCGGGGACGAGGAATTGCGCCATGCAGCCCCACACGCGCGCCAGCGAAAAGTCAGGCTTCGTCCCGGTCAGCAGCTGCGACGGCGTCGTCCCCGGCGTTGCCGATCGCTCCAGGCAGTTGCGGATCCAGACGGCCTGCCGCAGAGCGAGGTGCCACCAGTGGTGCTGCACGCCCATGTGCAGCAGCATCGTCCTCACCGACTCCACCACCGTCCGCATCTCCCGCTCCGCCATGCCGTTCTGCTGCGGGGTGTACGGGCAGGTCAAGTCGTGGACGATCCCCTTTCCATCCACGAAGTCGGTGAACGTCTTCCCGAGGAACTCCCCGCCTCGGTCCGAGCGCAGCATCAGCACCGACTTCTTCGTCTGCCTCTCCACCAGCACCAGCCACTTCTAGAACTCCAGCAGCACATCCGACTTCTTGGCGACCGGCCTCACCCACACGAAGCGGGTCTTGCGGTCCTTCAGCAGCAAGAAGTACAGGCTGCCACGCGGAACGGCCCGCACAGGTCGATGTGCACGACGGCCAGCACGTCAGCGGCGTCAGAACCTTGGTCGGGGAAGGTGTGCCGTGCCAGCTTCCCACCGACGCACGAGACACACGGTGAGTCGGTGCCCGACGTCGACTTGAGGTCCAGCCCAATGGCGACCTCGTGCTTCGCCGAGCTCCTGATGGTGTCCATGCCGACGTGTGCAAGCCGAGCATGCATCCTGCTCGGCGTCGACTTCGTCTTCGAGGCGATCGCCCGCAGGGCCACAACCTCCGGCATGGGTGACATCGACCTTGTGGAGCAGGGACGCAGGTCGGTGCAGAGGACTCGCCCGGAGTACGTCGCCCGACCAAGCACCTCTCCTGCTGCCGAGACGAGCAGCATCCCGTCGCCGTCCTCCCGAAACTTCACGCCGTGCTCCTTCAGCTGGCCGGACGACAACAGGTTCGCCCGCACACCCGGGACGTACAGCACGTCGGGAATGAGAACCTGCTTCCCGGCCTCGCCTTGCAGGGCGACTGTGCCCCGGCCCTGAACGTCTTGCAGCGCCCCATTGAAGCCACGCACGTGCTTCACGTCGCCGCAAAGCCCCAAGTCGACGAAGGCGTCCTTTGTCCCCATCAGGTGGTGGGAGCAGCCGCTGTCGAGCAGGACCACCGCCGGGTTAGCCTGCACAGCTGCCGCCATCGCCTGGAAGTCCTCACCGGCCTCCGGCGCCAGCGAGACAGTCGGCTCCACGACGCCGACCAGAGAGCACGACGCCGACTTGTCGTCGCTCCCCTTGCCGCCAGCAGAGGAGTCGGCGTCCTTCGCCGAGGTCGACTTGGTCGACTGCTTCTCCTTGCGCGGCTGGTTGCCTCGACGTGGACGACGGCTGGCCGACCTCCCGCGGCCTCCCTTGGCGTCGTCGTCGTCGGACTCGCTGCGGTCGGGGCACTCAAAGGAGAGGTGGTCGGGGCTGTGGCAGATCCAGCATTCCCGACGCCGACTTCCTCCTCCTCGACGGCCGTCCTTTGTCGACTGCTTCTTGTCAACCTCCTTGGCCGGCTTCCAGCCACTGCTACCACCGCCGCCAGACTGTCCGCGCTGCCCCGGTCGGCCTCCTTGCTTCGCTGGGGCGACAAAGTTCGCCTGCGCCAAGAGCTCCTGGGACCGCTCAGCCTCCTGCATCGCCTCGTCTTGAAGGATGTACGAGGTCAAGTTGTCCTCGTTGAGCGTCGCCCTCGTGCTCGGCGCCATCGACAGTCGCTTCAGCAGGTTGTAGCTGCTCGGAAGTCCCTGCATGACATGGGTGATGTACGACGCCGTCGAGTACTCCGCACCGGCCATCCTGATGGTGGCGAGAATCCGCCGGGCCCGGTTGCAGTAGTCGGTCGCCGTCTCCTCGTCGCCCATGCGCAGGTGCGTCAGCTGCCCCTCCAGCTGGGCGATGAACAGGTCGTCGGTGACCTGGTAGGTCGACTCGATGAAGTGCCACGCCTGGTGGCCGGCGTCGAGGTACTCCCGGCACCACTTCAAGGCGATCTGCACTCCCGGCGAGCAGCACTGAGAGATGACCGTGAAGGTCAACAGCTGCACGGCGCGAAACTCCGCACGCAAGTCGGGGTCGTCCGGCGTCTCCACGCTGCCACGAGCAAAGCGGATCAGCCCGGCCATCTCCAGCTGGGGCTCGATGGCCTCCTTCCAGGTGAGTATGTCGGGTCGACCGACCAGCGGGGGAGTCACCGAGATCCTATCCGGCGTGAACTTGTAGTAGCCGTAGCTCGGTGCAATTCCGCCCGCCGTCACCTGGGACGCCGCCATCGGCATTAATCCGCTTCGTCGACCTCCGACGTCGGCCCGCGAGGAGCCTGCAACCACCGACGACCGCACCCCTCGTGTTTGAACGCCGCCGACCTAGTCGGCGTGAATCACACCTCTCTGCCTCGACGACGTGCCTCCCGCACTGCTGCCTCGGCACACATGGATAGAGCAAGCGACTCACACTTGGACGAGGCTTGACATTGCAGAGAGGGTACTAGGAAGTGTTGGTGTAAGGGCCTAATAAACTCAAGCTATTAGGACTTAACCAAACTTAAAACCTCTCCTCGGGGTCACCTCCAAGGGTCCCTGGGTGCCTGGTACAAGACCAGCCCCTATCCTCGGGTCCGAGTTTGTAGAGAGAGGGATCAAGAAGGACTTAGTCAAAACAGCAAGAGTACCTTGAACGTCGCGCAGCGTGCCGTGCAGACCGTCGGTCGGATTAAGCTGAGAATTCGCTATATCGAAGCTCGCTCCAAGAGCTTTAAAATGAGCCAAGTTGCCTCGCGAAAAGTTCTGCCATTACTAAGTTATGGCTCGGAAAGCGTTTGCCTAGCGTTGGAGTGCTAGCATACTAGCGTTGACTCGGGTAGCATTCCGCCGTCGAATAGCGCAGAAACGAAATTCCAGCGAGGAAGGAATTCGCTTGAATCAATTTGACTATATTCAGGTACAAACAGAGAAGGATTAAATAGTTCTAGCTAGCAAGGACCTTGGGAATCAACCTGGGAACAACCAGGGATGATCCCAAATAATTCCAAGCAACAGAATCAACCTGGCTGGACAAAATAGCAGGTGGTAGGTTGGTAAACAACCTCTGGTTCTGTTTTTCCAACCTGGGAAAACAACAACCAGGTTCAGGTTCTAAAAACAGAACCTGTTTTGTCTTTGCCCAACCAGCCAAATGCTGGTTCCGCTGGTTTCCCCTGGCCTTGTAGCATACAGATACAGACAAACAACATCCAACCTTCACCTAAATTGTACCCCTATAGTGCCTTCCCTGCTACACTATAGTTAACCAAACAAAACAGTACAATTCCGAGTTGGATAGAACTGAATCTGCGCAATCAACTCAACCGAACTGCAAAGCTTCCATCTTGGGTTCCTTTGCGAGCTCGTCCTTTCTGCTTGCACTGTTCATAGCGCATACAATGTTGTGCCGAAGCGCACATTGCGCGAGTACCTGCAAATGCATCAAGCGAAAAATGCGAAAGCAAACAAACACACGAACACACCATTCACACACAAATGCATTCGCACACGCATACTCGTACAAACAGACGGCAGGATGTCGTGCAATGTGCATTTGCACCCAACACACTCCCCCTCAGCCTGCCGGCTGCATCCCCGTCATTCCATGCTAGTTCATGCTCATTCCACTCATGCGCACACAACGCCAATGAGGCTCATCCGCAAGCCTCTTGGTGAGAAAGTCTGCTGGCTGCTGGTGAGTCTTGATGTAGATCGGATGCACCGTCCCCCTCTTCACCTCCTTACGCAGCCAGTGCCACTTGATACGCATGTGCTTGTTCAGCCCATGAAGCACAGCGTTTCTGGCCATCCCAAGAGCCCCCTTGCTATCACAAAACAGCGGCGTAGCAACTTTCTGCTCCTGGCCAATCTCCTCTAACAGCCTCCTCAGCCAAATCACCTCCTTCACCCCATGGAACATCGCCATGTACTCTGATTCTACGGAAGAGAGTGCCGTCTCCGTCTGCTTCTTGGACCTCCAGCTAACAGGTCCTCCCCCAACTACGCAGATGTATCCTCCCACAGATGAGGAATCCTCCTTCTCAGAAGCCCATGTAGCATCGGTAAAGCAAGTGAGAAATAGCTTGCCTTCTCCAAGCCTCTCCCCCTTCTCTTTCAGCACCTCCACCCCTTTCTGCTTCACCTGTGCAGATGCGGAGTATTGAACTCCAATGCTTGGGTGAGAGTTCAGGTACTTCACCACACGCTCAGCTGCATCCACCTGCTCCTCTGATGGATTCTGCACCACCCTAGCCAGCTGCCCAACCGAGAAAGAGATGTCGGGCCTCGTGTGAACTGCTGCGTACAAGAGGCTGCCCACCAAGGACTGAAATTGCTGCTGCTCTTCAGCTTCAACCCCTTCATCCTCTGCAGCCTTCACAAGCTTGAATTCTGCTGGCAGGGGAGTTGCAACCTTGCGCTCATTCTCAATCCCATACTTCTCCCCCAGCTCCTTGATGAACTTCTCCTGGTGCAGCTTCAACCACCTGTGATCTGGATCCCTCTCCACGTGCATCCCGAGGTAGTACTTTACCTCCCCAAGGTTCTTGCACTTGAAGTTTTCCATCAGTTGCTGCTGCACTTTCTGGATCTCCTTCATGCTGCTGCTGAAGAGAAGAATGTCGTCCACATAGACCAGAAACAGCACCAGCTTCTCCCCCTCGCCCTTGAGAAAGAGGCTCTCATCACAGCTGCTGGTCCTGAATCCCATCTCCTCTAAAACAGCTGCCAACTTCTGGTACCAGCAGCGTGGCGCCTGCTTCAAGCCGTAGATGGACTTGTTGAGCTTGCACACCCTGCCCGTACCATCCTCATACCCAGGCGGCTGCGTCATGTACACATCCTCCTCTAAAATCCCATTCAGGAATGCCGTTGAAATATCCATCTGAATGATGAATTTCCCACTAACAGCTGCATCTGCCAACAAGACACGGAGGGTAGGGGGTTTGGCAGTGGGAGCAAAGATCTCGTTGAAGTCCTGCTTCTCCTTCTGCATAAACCCCTTCGCCACCAGCCTACTCTTGTAGATGGTGACCTGCCCCTTGTCATCGGTCTTGATCCTCAGCACCCACTTGCATTGTATCGCTTTCTTCCCATCAGGCAGCACCACCAGATCCCATGTCCTATTCTCCAGCAGACTCTGGTACTCAGCATCCCTAGAAGCCAGCCACTTGTCCCTATCTGGTCCAGCTAATGCCTCCTCCATGCTAGCTGGTTCCTCTGGTGCAGGGGCAAGAAAACAGTACGCAGGCTCATCCTCCTCATCCGGGTCATAGCCATGAGGTAGAATCAGCAATGCCTCTTCGGTCCCTAGCTGCTGCTCTGCTGCATCAGTTCCTGCAGTCAGCTTCTTAGTAGCCATACGGGTACGTCCTGGCCTGGAGACGGGTGTCTCCCATCCCTTCATAACGACACCCTTCGGCTTCTTAGTTTTTCCCTGCTGCTTCTCTCCTCCCTCGGGTCCAGCAGCTCCACTAGTGCTGCCGCCAGTTTCCACACCATTTTCTCCACCAGCAGATGCCTCCTGTACCTTCTCTCCATCACCATTTCCAGCAGCTGCCTCCTCTTCCTCCTCCCACACACTAGGAGTCAGGTCCAGCTGCATGGTGATCTGCTCCATCTGCTGGGACACCCTTGCCTCCGGCTGTTTCTCCCAGCTCCCATACATCATGCCCTCAATGAATTTCACATCCCTGCTGTCAAACAACACACCCTTGGATGGTTCCCACAGCAGCCATCCCTTGCTCTCAGCAGCCAGCCCCAAATGCACACACCAGATTGCACTCGCCCCCAACTTACTGCGGTAGGTCTTGGGGACGTGGGCGACTGCCATGCAACCGAACACCCTCAGCATGTCCACCGGCGGCTTCCTCCCAAGCCACCTCTCCAACGGCACCCACGAGTCATCCCCAACCTTGGTGAGCACCCTGTTCCTAGCGACAGTGGCGTGCCGGACAGCATGAGGCCACATAGAATTGCTCAGCCCAGATTCTATGAGCAGCGCCCTAGCTGTCTCCAGAATGGTCCGGTTTGCCCGTTCTGCTACACCATTGGACTGTGGGGTATAAGCCGTGGTCAGCTCTCTCTGGATGCCCTGCTTCTTGAGCCAGGCCGTCATTTCAGCTCCAAGGAACTCACCACCCCGGTCTGTCCTAATCCGCTTCACTACACACTCCGCCTGCTTCTCCACGAATGGCAGCCAATCGTCCCGTATCGTGGAGGCGGCGTGGTCCTTCTGCTTCAGCGGATACGCCCACATCAGCCTGCTCCAGTCATCCACAATTGTAAGAAAATACCGCTCCCCCTTGTGCCCTTGCACCGGCAGCGGCCCCACCAAGTCCATGTGGACCAGCTCCAAAGGCTTCTTGCTCCTGCCAGCCACACTATGGAAAGGGAAACGGGTGAACTTTGAAAGCAAACAGATTTCACAGTTGTCATCGGGTGGCTGTCCGTTCAGCTTCAGACCCTTAACGGCTCCATCCTTCTCCAGCTGCTTCAGCAAAGGCATTGCCACATGCCCTAAGCGCCGGTGTGCCGTTGCCCAATCTGTCTCCCCAGATCTGGCCGACACTTTCACACCAACCCCTCCAACGGCATTGCACTCCCCCTGGGATGCAGACCCCTCTCCAGCCTGCCCCCCACCATGCCACGCCAGGGCCGGCAGCTGCCACATAGATCTGTACACGTCCTTGCTCTCGTGCAGATCCCAAAGCACCCGATTGCCCAGCTTCCCCTTATAAGTGCGTGCCCCATCCGTGTTGGTGTTCACCCCAGCCTTGCCAAGCTTACGGAGGGAGATAAGGTTGGCCTTCAGGTCGGGGACGAAGAGAACGTCGTGCAGCACCACCGGCTTGCCATCCGCTCCCTTAAACGCAGCTCGTCCCGCACCAGCCACCTTCAACATGTGTCCAGAGGCGGAGCACACTTCATTGATCGGTGCAGCGCGTACTTCGTCCAGCAGGTCCTTGCACGGCGTCATCGTCCAAGCAGCGCCTGTGTCCAACACCCAATAGTCTAGGGGGTGCAGCTCTGCTCCAACTTTGGCAGAGGCGTCTCCTTGCTCCCCCTTGTCTCCCACATGGAAGAATTGGCCCGCGGTGCGCTCCTTCTTCTTCTCCGCACCGCCGTTGCCCTTCGGGTTGTTGTCGGACGAATCAGCGACCATGTTGGCGCCGTTTTTCTGGTTCCTCCGCGCGCCGCCATCCTGGTGACGATTCTGGGGGGTCCATCCATCGGGTTTCTTATAGCACAAA